TCCACGCGTGAGGAACCTTGTCCTCCGCGTGAGGAACCTTGTCCTCAGCGCAAGGATCCTTGACCTCTTCGTGAGGAACGTTGTCTTCAGCGTGAGGATCCTTGTCCTCAGCGTTAGGAAGCTTGTCCTCAGCGTGAGAACCTTGTCCTCAGCCGGAGGAACCTTGTTCTCAGAGGGAGGAACCTTGTCGCCAGCGTGAGGAACCTTGTCCTCAGCGTAAGGAACCTTGTCCTCAGCGTGTGGAACCTTGTCTTCAGCGTGAGGAAGCTTGTCCTCAGCAAGAGGAATATTGTCCTCAGCGGGAGAAACCTTGTCCTCAGCGTGAGGAACCTTGTCCTCAACGAAAAGAACCTTGTCCTCAACGTGAAGAACCTTGTTCCACGCGTGAGGAACCTTGTCCTCCGCGTGAGGAACCTTGTCCTCAGCGCAAGGATCCTTGACCTCTTCGTGAGGAACGTTGTCTTCAGCGTGAGGATCCTTGTCCTCAGCGTTAGGAAGCTTGTCCTCAGCGTGAGAACCTTGTCCTCAGCCGGAGGAACCTTGTTCTCAGAGGGAGGAACCTTGTCGCCAGCGTGAGGAACCTTGTCCTCAGCGTAAGGAACCTTGTCCTCAGCGTGTGGAACCTTGTCTTCAGCGTGAGGAAGCTTGTCCTCAGCAAGAGGAATATTGTCCTCAGCGGGAGAAACCTTGTCCTCAGCGTGAGGAACCTTGTCCTCAACGAAAAGAACCTTGTCCTCAACGTGAAGAACCTTGTTCCACGCGTGAGGAACCTTGTCCTCCGCGTGAGGAACCTTGTCCTCAGCGCAAGGATCCTTGACCTCTTCGTGAGGAACGTTGTCTTCAGCGTGAGGATCCTTGTCCTCAGCGTTAGGAAGCTTGTCCTCAGCGTGAGAACCTTGTCCTCAGCCGGAGGAACCTTGTTCTCAGAGGGAGGAACCTTGTCGCCAGCGTGAGGAACCTTGTCCTCAGCGTAAGGAACCTTGTCCTCAGCGTGTGGAACCTTGTCTTCCGCGTGAGGAACCTAGTCCTCAGCGTGAGGAACCTTGTCTTCAGCGTGAGGAACCTTGTCCTTAGCGAGAGGAATATTGTCCTCAGCGGGAGGAACCTTGTCCTCAGCGTGAGGAACCTTGTCCTCAACGAGAAGAACTTTGTCCTCAACGAGAAGAGCCTTGTTCTACGCGTGGGGAACCTTGTCCTCCGCGTGAGGAACCTTGTCCTCAGCGGAACCTTGTCCTCATCGGGAGGAACCTAGTCGTCACCGGGAGGAACCTTATCCTCCGCGTGAGACACCTTGTGTCAGCGTGACGAATTTTGTCCTCAGCCTGCGGAAACTTGTCCTCAGCGTGAGGAACCTTGTCCTCAGCGTGAGGAACCTTGTCCTCAGTATGAGGAACCTTGTCCTCAGCGTGAGGAACCTTGTATCAGCGGGAGGAACCTTGTCCTCAGCGTGAGGAACCTTGTCCTTAGCGTGAGGAACCTTATCCTCAGCGTGAGGAATCTTGTCTTCTTCGTGTGGAACGTTGTCCTCAGCGTTAGGAACCTTGTTCTTGGCGTGAGGAACCTTGTGCTCAGCGTGAGGAACCTTTTGTTCAGCGTGAGGAACCTTGAACTCAGCGGGAAGAACCTTGTCCTCAGCGTGAGGAACCTTTTCCTCAGCGTGAGGAACCTTGTCCTCAGCGTGAGGAACCTTGGCCTCAGCGTGAGGGACCTTGTCCTCAGCGTGAGGAACCTTGTTGTCAGCGTGAGGAACCTTATCCTCAGCCTGAGGTACCTTGTTCTCAGCCTGAGGAGCCTTGTCCTCATGCCGAGTGAGGAGCCTCGCTCTTGTGCAATCGAGTGAGATCATATAAATTTGATTATCGCGTATCATATTTATTATGACTATTATAAAATAGATCGAAATGAACTAAGCAAAATCACAGTTCACGAAACAGACATCCTTAATTGTCATTTCACGGAGCATTTTTATCAACATTCACGCCTCACGGCTGTAGAACAAATCACATTTCACGATACTAAAATGAAGCATTTCACATTTCACGCGAACAAATATTGACCATTCGCGGCTCACGAAAATACCCTTTCCCACCCTCTAACGTCGGAACCAGATGATATAGAATAGAGCAGTAAACGGCCAATCGACTTATTTTTTCGTGCTCTTTCAGGCAAAGGAATACAAATTTTTTTTGCCAATACCCTTTAAGTATTTTTTTATGATAAACGACTGAAGTATTTTGTTTTTTATTTTCTTTGTTCAGAAAAATGGCGGCAAAATATTTCAATCCCTACAGACAGAATGTGTGTACTCCCCCACAAGCTTGCAATAATAGTTAGTTATAGCCTACATGCAGCATTGAAATTCGTCAGAGAGATATTTTGTTTTATTTGGGTCTGCAACTTGCGAGGCGCCCAAAACATGCATGCGAGTCACTGCGCAAAAGTGCAATGCATTCAAGGTAACATTTTAATATTTAAGTTCCTGTTGACTTAATATCACACCCCAACTACAGCTGCCGTTGGTAAGATTCCTGAATATATATATATATATATATATATATATATATATATATATATATATATATATATATATATATATATATATATATATATATATATATATATATATATATATATATATATATATATATATATTATGCAGTTAAATGTTTCTCAAAGTAAATCTACCATCTTTGTCCTCTCGTCGATCGTCGAATGTTTCGAAGGCCGATAAACTTTTACTGTCAAAGAAAAATGACGGTTGCAACCAACCCCAGGCCCTATAATAGACCCTCTTTATTATAGTGTACCAGTTTCCCAAACCAAGCACGAAACTATTTGCGTTATATAAGAGCCCTGTTCAGTGCATTTTTTAAGGATTCTTCAGTGGTGGGGCAAAATTCCTTGCCCTCCCCCAGCATAGTATGCGATCGCCGAAGGTGTGGGCAGAGAACCGTAGGCACGAGTTAGCTAGGGGGGTTGAAGCTGAGGGCATGCCCCCTCCCAGGAAATTTTTAAAATTTGGGTCTCTGAGTCTCTAGTGAAATAGCATTTCCTGCATCTGAGAGCACACTTAAAAAAAATCGCAGCTTCTCAAAACAAAGTTTTAATGGTGAAATTTGTAATAAATTTGCTTGCTAAACATTCAAACATAACATAAGTTTAAGTATGCTCACCAACATATTTTGTTTTTTAAACTTCCGGCTTTTCAATGATAAACTCATTTACTCAATACAGGTCCTACAATCAGGAGCAAAAATTATTGAGACAAACGCATAAACGACATAAACGCACCCCGCACCCCCAATTCAATGTTGAGAGGATGACTGAAAAGAGAAAATTCAACCCGCTTTTTCCAACATTGATCATCGGGGGGGGGGGGG